TAAGGTTCTTGCAATAATCTTCACTAAGCTCTGTTTAATTATTTTTAAGCACTGTGTTTTGAAATTGGTGATGGGTAAATAGGCCTCTGGATTACTGACTTGAATCCCAGCCTAAATGGGTACTAACTCAGTTTTAATGACTCTCTTCTTGATGGCCTGTTTTAGTTTTAACCTATTTCATACTAAATAAGTCTCCAAATAAAGGGAGTCTTTTATTAAAAGGAGGACAGGCTTTAAAAAAGTTAAAAATGAATTATGAAAAGACAGTACTGTTTCCACCTATTCTATAGGTTGTAAATAAGGATTTTGATCTTTGGCTGTCATTTGTCTACTTCTCGGAAGCACTAAACACTAGTTTCAGACTTGGTGTTCCTGGTTTTTTTTTTTTTTTAAACTTTCTTTGTTCAGTCAAAAAGTTTTAGAAAGTATTGCTATCAGGCTTGTCTTTAAATAGTGAAATTTATTTGCAGATGCATGAAAACATCAAAGAACTACAGTTAGTTTTACCCATAGTAAAGTTAGTTAGTTAGTTACCCATAGTAAAGTTAGTCTTACCCGTAGTTACCCTGTAGTTTATATTAATGCATAGTTTGAGGTTAAAAACAGCATATCCTTCCCACTTGAAGGATGCCAGATGAGTTTAAGCTATGTTCAGAACACTGCTCTTCCCAAAACGCATATCTTGCATTAAAAAAGCACAGACATTATATTACATCATGCATAAATGTGCCAGATGGGCTGTGGATTGAATAAAGTTCTGATTCTCAGAAGAGCTGTCCAACTGTTTTAGTGCTTTGGTTGCTTAAATGTAGTGTTGCCAGTCTTGAACATTAGGGACTAATGCTATTCACTTCCCTTATTTCTCAGAAGCTGGTAAATGTTCTGAAAGATAGTAAAGGCATTTTGAGAAATTTCTCACTAGCAAGTGAAATCTTAAGACTGTAGCCTCTCAGTCAAATATCTTTACTGTCCCTTGAAATTATAAGGGGCAAGAGTGAAGAGGGCTCTGTAAATAGTCAAAGCTATGAATATTAAGAATTAGCAAAGCAAGTGAAGAGGGCTCTGTAAATAGTCAAAACTATCAATATTAAGAAGAATTAGCAAAGCATTTAATGTTTTGTTTGTTTGTTTGTTTTTATATATATCCAGAAACTTAATAGACCAGTCGTGTTTGCCTGAACCTTAAGGAAAACAGTAGTTCTAGTGAAACACATTTAGCTAGAGACACAGTGCTGGTGACTTACAGATTGAAAAAAGTCAGCCTTCTTGCAAAGTTGTTTGTAGTCACAACTTTGACTTGCCCATGCAGGGCACTGCCCTTTTTAAGGGAACTCTTATAAAAATAGTAGAAGTTGGTGGGAGTTCAGGGATGGAATCTGGGGAGTGGAATAATGTAGTATTGCCTCTAATCTTTCAAGACAAAAATTAATTACCTAATACTGACATTACTTTAAAAAGTGAAAACATTCAACTGCACTGTATCTTCAACAGAAGGACAGTCTGATCCAACCCATTAACTTACACATGCCCTGATTTTTAAATGGTAGTGAGCGTCTGGCCTTCCTTCTTTTATTTTTGTATTAATCCTTTTAGCCATGGAGGCTTCAAAAATACATGAATGTTATGTAGGATTAGAAAGAAATGCATTGCAGCAGAGAAAAGGACAGTGCTCTAGCTTTCTAAAATGAGAAAAGGACAGTGCTCCAGCTTTCTAAAATGTGCTTGCTGAGTTCTGATTTTCTGATTTACCCAATCTTTTTTTTTTTTTTTCTTTCCCCCCTCTCTCTCCGAATCTCCACCACGAATACTTATGCTTGCTTCCCTATCATAACATTCCCTTCACACCCCCTACCATGACAATTCTTCACAGCCTTGTTCATCGTGGACGGCCTGAGCCTCTGGACCTTCATCTGGGCATGTTCCTTCCTACCCTTCTCACCCAGGCAACCCCAGAACAGCAGGATCGCTTCTTCATGCCTGCCTGGAACCTGGAGATCATTGGCACGTATGCCCAGACCGAAATGGGCCATGGTACAGTACATTCCCTAAATGCTATTTTTAAGCATGGTTTTGTGTGTGGAGAACTTCCCTGTATAGGAAATAATGGTGTGTGTTTATGCCACAGTCTTTACATATGCGGTGGTGGCCATAGAGAAAGAGAGACTGCCTCTGAAATTTTTAATAGATGATAATACCACATGCAGCTTGACCTTATTTTTCTCCTATGGGAGAGGTTGTGATGTCTGTGATTTTGATATATGCGCGTACCAAGTGCCCTTCAAACCAGTGCAAATGATTTAAAAAAGAAACACCTTGTATATATGGATATGGTGATGTTAATGTGATGGCATCCATTTGTTTCTACACTTACCATTCTTTCCAAAATGATTTCTGCTTTACTCTACTTAGCATTCAATGTGAAGATAAAAGGACAAAGTTTTAAGATCCTAAAAGTGATGCTTTTAAAAAAAAGAGCAAGCTGCTTTTCAGCTTGGGACTGACCCTGGATCAGAGACCATGTGGAAAACTTGGTTCCATTGCCCATGTTTTGCAGGGGTCTTTATCCCCCAGCTCCTTAGTTTACTCCTCTGTGTTCTTTTTAATTGGACCATGAAATGGTTTCTGCTAGCTGTGTCTCAAGTAAACTTTATTCTTTGCTATTCCTTTGCTTTTGAGCTTTGAAATGGATTGTGATAACTCCAGCAGTATTTTGGCTGCAGCATTTTTTTTAAAAACACTTTCTGAGTTTCAAAGGGAGCATGCTATGTCTTGTGAAAACTTTAATTTCGACACCTGAGAGTTGCAGATGAGAACTTTTCTTTTTCTAAAAATGAGCGGGATCCACCTTTGTGCTGAAGTGAAGTAAAAAGACTGAATGAAGCGTAAAATAACTGCAAGTCTGTGGAGAGTCTCTTCCATCTAGTGAGGTTTGAAGAAGCCTGCCAGGAAAGTAAGTCCGTTAAGCTGCTTGTGGGATTGCTGCTGTTGAGCTCCACACTTTGGAGGTGATGTCCTGTTTCTTGGTGAAATGCTTGCACAGAGTATCTCGCTCTGTATTATTCTGTCAGTCTGGACTGCCAGGAGTGCTTCTAGCTTGGCTAGCTTTATCTTAAAGGCATGGCCATACATCACAAATGCAAAGAAAATGCCGTTCGGTAGGACAGGTATGCATGAATTGTTAAGTGAAGATTTGAGGTCAGAAGATAATAGAGACTGGAATTGTTACCTTCATCTTTTTTGCAGTCTCTTCATCTAACTGCAACAGTAACTTGGTGTATGCATGCTATTGCTTGTGCTCGTGGAGCTATAGGTGATCTCATTTGGGAAAAACTGCTCTATTGAGTGAGGGGAATGTAGGCCTGAAAAGGAAATACAGATGGGCACTAATTATTCCCTCTTGTAGCTGAGAAGTATGATTGTTATTCTGCAATTGATCAGTTCACGATTTTAGTCACAGCAGATGAGTGGGACTCTATGGAGATTTTTCACTGAGAAAATGCTCATGCTGTGCACTAGGAAAAAAGTGTCAGATTGGAGGTGCTTGGAAATTAGTCATGGAACATTGTAAAAAATAGCATGTTTCCGGAGAATTACTTTCAAGTTCCAGAATACAGCCTGATTTTTCCCTTTCTCAATTGGTTGATATTTAGTCCATTATAAAACCTGAAAGATAAAGTTAAAATGCGCATCACTACTGGAGTTCAACTTTCCATTGTCTAATTCTGTCCTTGTTTTGTGATTGACTTCCTGTCAAAACCAAATGTGGTTGCTTGTTTGCAGGATCTCATCTTCGGGGCCTAGAAACCACAGCCACTTATGACCCAGCTACACAGGAATTCATTCTCAACAGCCCCACTGTGACCTCCATTAAGTGGTGGCCAGGCGGACGTAAGTACATGTGTCTGTTTAAGTCTAGAAGATGAGTGAAAAACATAAGGAGGTGAGTTGTATGTATTCTATCTGCAGCATGGTAATGAAATTTGATTCAGTTTGGGTAAATTTGGTAGTTTGCTTTCAGCCAGCTAGCAGCCTTAGCAGAGCTCCGTAAGGCTTCTGATTATCTGGGCTTTGGATTGTTTCTATAAATCAAACTGTTTGAGTTTGATATAATTTTTGATCTGTTGTGTCAAAATTATTACATTTGAGGTGTCTGAGGCAGCCTTGAATTAGGCAGACCTTTCTCTGGCTTCACTGGTAGGCTTAAGATTAATTGTATAGTCAAGAGAATCATAGTGGATAACATGGAGGACTTTGTCTAGGTGTAGAACTCGGATGGAAATCAGTGCTGTAATTACGTTAAATATGGTGTGGTTAATATAACCTCAGATCCTGCCTCAAGGAAGTGGGAGTGTATGTTTAGTTTGTTAATTTTCTTTGATTTCCCCTCGTTTTGCAGTTGGAAAGACCGCGAACCACGCCATCGTTCTGGCGCAGCTCTACACCCAGGGCCAGTGCAAAGGGCTGCATGCCTTCATCGTTCCCATACGGCAGCTGGGCACCCACGAGCCTTTGCCAGGTAGGAATCTCCGGAAGGGTTTAGGACTCCTGTACGCATTAGATCTGTCTCTCTGCAGCTTTGTACAGCTGCATGTGTCTTGTTAAGGTATGTGCATATCTCTCAGTGCAGCTGGGTTTTGTCTTGGCAGGCATTACGGTGGGTGACATTGGGCCAAAATTTGGCTATGACGAAGTGGATAATGGCTATTTGAAAATGGACAACTTCAGAATTCCTCGGGAGAACATGCTGATGAAATATGCTCAGGTAAAGCAGGAAGCTTTAGCATAAGCTGTTAGAAGCAAACACCTCAATGAGCTAGCACTTAACCTTGAGTGATATGTTAGACTCTACATGTCTAACTCCTTGTTTTCTTCAGGGTTAAATCCATCCACATCTCACTCTTCTAGAGAAGGAAGAGAACCCTTTTTAACTTTTAACCAGAAGCACCTTCTTTGGAGCCTCTGAATGTCCTGAGCGATGGTGGTTGAGCTGCGTGTGTAATAACTGACAGTTTATTACATATCTGGATTCCCCTTGTTGTTGTTGCCTGATGGTATCAATACCAGGAAAGGTTTCTTGACTTCACGAACTGCCCTCACTTCGTTTTATTTCTAATATGAACTCATGGTTGGCTACTGTGAAGTTTCCTCCTTCAGAGTATCCCTGTTCTGTTTGTCCTGAATCTTACAAATGAATCCAATTTGTTTTAATTTCTTCAGTTTCACTTCATCCCAAATTGCTCTATGAAGTGTGCAGGTAGTGTAGGAAGGATGGAACTATGATGACTCTTCTAGGACTGTTTGAAAAGATTTTGCCTCTAACTCCTGCCCAAAGACTCTAAATGAAGCTCAGAAAACAGTTACCCACTCAGCCAGCAAGGTTTCACTGTGGTATTCTGGGCTTTCTTTTAGATGCTTCTTGGGTAAATACCAGCGAGACCATAGGCTGCTTCTAAGTGTTACCTGATGAGTTCAGAGCCTGAGATGTGAACATGTAAAGGGGAGGAAACTTTAAAGATCAATAGACTGTTTTTTGTTTGTTTGGTAGGTTGAACCAGATGGCACTTACGTGAAGCCACTTAGTGACAAGCTGACCTATGGGACCATGGTGTTCATCCGAGCCTACATTGTAGGAGAATCAGCTCGGGCCCTGTCCCGGTCTTGCACTATTGCTATTCGCTACAGCGCAGTGAGACACCAGTCTGAGCTAAGGGCAGGGTAAGTTTGAAGTGCAAAAGCAGCCTAAGCCAGTGGTGGAATTCCCAAATGCTGAGGGGAAGGAGGAACTGTGATTTGATGCTATTTTACTTAACACTTGATAGAGTCTTAAAACACTGTTTTCACCTGAAAAGTGAAAATCTTTTATTTCTGACTACCCAATTCTGCTTTTTGCTGTATGGCCTTAGATACTGACTTGGATAGTTCAGGCTGCATCTCTATCAAATGAAGAAGTTGCTTGGAGTTGAACAGAACTTGTGTAGGAATTTACCAGGCATTGACATGCTGACCTTTCTGTGTTCTGCTCTAGGGAACCAGAACCCCAGGTCTTGGATTATCAGACCCAGCAGTACAAGCTCTTTCCTCTCCTGGCAGCAGCATATGCTTTTCACTTTGTGGGAACCTACATAAAAGACACTTATCGTCGTATTAGTGGAGACATCATTGAAGGGGATCTGAGCGAGCTGCCAGAGGTACCGTGTCTGAAAGTCAAAGGGCTTTTGAAGCTTCAAAGTAAGATTTGCTTACAGCATGGGAGGCAAGGAATCAAGCCTTTAGGCTGCTGCTCATGAGATGGCTTGCACTTATTAGATCCGATGATTGTAATTCCTGGATATGCTGGTGACTTCCACCTGTTTGCACTATTCATCTTGCAGAGCAAAGTGACTTTCTAGGAATGATTGTTTATTAACTGGAAGCAGAGTTAAGACTGGTCTTTGCTTCTGATGGCACCTTCTTGATTATCCTTCCAAGTAACTACAGTAGAATGGGTGACAATCAAAGTTTTGGGATCATATTGAAGAATTAGGATTATAAAGTGAGATTCTACTAGAGATTCTACTGGAAGAAATAAGGGGACAAAAGGCCACTGAAAGCAGTTCTGTACAAAAAGGCTTAATAAATGAAGAGTGCAGTAGGCTATTCATACTCTGAAGAATACTATGCATCATACATAGACAGGAAGGACTAGATGATCAAAAGCTACTTACATATACAGAAGCTTTCAAGAAGTGAATTATAAGGACTCTGTTTTCCTGAGCCCAGAAAAAAGAAAGAAAAAGCAGGATGCTGTTGGACTATGGACAGGAGGTATTGATGGTGTTTTCTCTGCGAGCTTCTGATCCTAGCAGGATATGCTCAAGCTGAGAATGTAATCCCACTGTTAACTTGTTTGCTTTTATCCATCAGCTTCACGCACTGACGGCGGGGTTGAAGGCCTTCACTACCTGGATTGCCAATGCTGGGATTGAGGAATGTCGAATGGCCTGTGGTGGCCATGGCTACTCCCGCTGCAGTAGCCTTCCTGATATCTATGTCACCTTCACCCCAACTTGCACCTATGAGGGAGAAAACACAGTCATGATGCTGCAGACAGCAAGGTAATTCCATCTAGAAACTTTCTTGCTATAACATTATGGTCTTTGTAGCAGAAATAGTGAGAGTATCTAAACTATCCTGTACTAACATGAAATTATTTCCACTTCTTCTCTTGCCCCGTTGATGCATATTTTTGCCTGCACCTACTCCTTGATTGACTCTACTTAATGTGACTTCTGATCCCAGTGAGCCTTGTAACATAAGGATTTGTTTGTTTTTCATCTTCAGGTTCCTTATCAAAAGCTACATGCAAGTTGGTTCTGGTCAGCGTGTTACTGGCACAGTGTCCTACCTTAATGATCTCCCCAGGCAACACATTCAGCCACAGCACGTGGCTGCTAGGCCTGCGACTGTGCTTATCAACGATCCCGTCAGTTTGGTGGAGGCCTATAAAGCACGTGCGACCTGGTGAGTTCACCTGTATTAGCCTGACCTGGACCTGATAAAAACACATGCTGAGAGATGGTAGTGATGTGCTCCCCTCTTCATATGAGCTTGTCAAACGGTTGCTGTTGCTTTGTTCTGAGTGTCATATTCCAAGAAGTGACAATCTGTATTAGGTCAGGCCAGTGTTAAATGCTTTAAAGTTATAAGAGCCTGCATACAACAAATTGCTCTCTGCTCCCTGTTCTCTTTTGAAGTCTATCTATTTCTTATTAAATAAGTAAAAGCATATTCAAAACATACAAGTATGAGCATAGCTCAAACTGCTTAGTGGTCTGGAGAGAAACAATCATATTAAAGCCTACTGTGCAGAAAGGGTTAAGCTGGGAGTAGAATAGGTAGATGTGAGCAGATATTCAAGCACCACATCTGTTTTGTCAAATGTCATCTTAGCTGCCTGTTGCTTTGTAGTCTAGCTGCAGCATGGATGACACTGGTCTTAAAAGAGCATTCATGCAAGACCTCTGTTTTTCTGATGTGTTAAACTAAAGTTTCTGTGAATTCACGGTCATCCTGTTGATGTGGTATCACTATATAACCAGTTTCTGTCTTCCTCTTTCTATGAAATAGGCTTGTAGAATCTGCAGCAAAGAACTTACAAGCTGAGTTGAACCACAGAAAGAACAAAGATGATGCCTGGAACGTGACTTCTGTTGATCTTGTCCGAGCCACTGATGTCAGTGATGTATCTAATAAATAAGAATGCTCTAGGAGCTTCCTATCCTTTCACTAACCCGATTGATCTTCCTTTTATCCGTTTTGTAGGCACACTGTCACTATGTGGTAGTGAAAATCTTCACGGCAAAGCTCTCGGAGATCAGCAATGCAGCAGTCCGTGCTGTCCTGACTGATCTGTGTCTCTTGTATGCACTGCATGGAATCAGCAAGAACCCAGGCGACTTTCTGCAGGTCAGTGACACTCTAATGTCATACCTTTATGAAGACAGACTCTGGACAGATTCCTAGAAATATACTTTAAATATAAGGCCTCATGAATGCTTACGCATAAGATCTCCACTAGTGACTGCCAAGTGACCCAGCAGTAGTGCACGTCCCATGGAAGGCTCTTGTGTTAGCTTTCTCTTGGGATCCACTGAGTTAGCTACTCATTTTCCAGTTGATGACCAAGTAAATGTCCTTTTTGTTGTTGTCTGCTTGTTTGTTTTTTTAATAAAAAGCTAGTATTTCACAAAGTGCTGATTTTTCCTCAATAAAGGAAGATTGACCTACTCTAGACTGTGAGGAGAAGGCTCTTGTGACTTGTATACTGTTCTGATAATCTTCTGTTGTTTGAGGGTGTTTTGTTTGTTTGTTTTTTCCCCCAAGGCGGGTATCTTGACAAATACCCAAGTTAATCAAGTGAACCAGCGTGTGAAGGAGCTCTTGGCTATAATCCGTCCCAATGCAGTAGCGCTGGTGGACGCCTTTGATTATAGTGATGGTTACCTTGGGTCTGTGCTTGGCCGCTACGATGGCAACGTCTATGAGACCATGTTTGAGTGGGCAAAGAAATCACCACTGAACCAAACGGAGGTAAAGAAACCTTATTTACTTCTCCTAGGCAATGTATGTCCAGACAAATAGTTTAGGGTTGCTAGTTCTGATCCAGTGATATCATCAGGTATAATTGATCAGAAAAAAAACATCACTAGTGATTATGGATCAAAACCAACAAACTGCTTTTGCCCCACTGCTTTCAGCCTGCTTATTTTAGTCTCTCCCAAATGCACATGCAGTCCTCTGTGGGATACTTCGAGTTCCTCAGCTGGGAGAGAAAATTGCACTCTGCCTAGAGAAACAATTGGCTAATCTCATTGAATTTAAAAGCAATTATCACATGTTTTTAATTTTGCTCAAAGACAGAAAGCTTTACATAATTTCTGGCAGATCTTCTAGTGCCTCCAGGCAGTTGTCCTGACTCTGTAGAAAGAAATAAGTTTGTCCCATCCAGTCCTGTGGAAACAACAGGGTGCTGCTTACCTGTGCTTAGGCTCTAGCTGCAGCTGTGCTAATTTTTTTTTTAAAAAAAAAAAAAAAGGGACTATGGGGGATCAGTGTGTCCCTCTTCTATCAGGCAGAACTGAACTCTAAATCCTGTCTCTCTGTAACCTTCACTGCTTTTATTTGATTTGAGCAGACTTTTATCTCCTACCATAGATTGCCAGAGACTACATTAATTGTAACCAAATCCTATCGGAGCTCACTCCGTTTCTTACTATTCCCAATTCTGTGAGGCTTACGTGCTTCATGAGGAAGAAGATTGCACTCTTAAGACCTCTACCAGTTTTTTTGTTAATTAATACTCCAGAGAATTGTCTATGTAAATAGGATTTTTTTTCTTTCCTTCAAACAAGAGATAGCAAGGAGGCTATATGTTTCAGGCTTATTGTCTCCATTTTTCGTGGGATTTTAGTGTTTGTCTGTTCTTCTTATATCCCCAAAGTGACTGAAGGTTTTTTTAGTGCAAGATATAAAGAACTAAGTACTTCTGAAACTCAGGCCTGATGATCTAACCACTGTTTTGTACTCTTACAGGTTCATGAATCTTTCCATAAACACCTGAAGCCGATAATGTCCAAGCTGTGAAGCCAGCTCTCTTAAACATGCACAGTTTTCCTGGTCTGAAAGCTGGATGTTTGCATCCTTTCTTCAGGCACCTAAATCAAACCTTTCAAATCCTGATAGCTGTAGGACAGTGAATAATTGTAACTTTTCTTTTTACTTCTGTAAATTGAGGAGGTGATTGGGGGACTGCATAGGGATAGATGGCTGTTTTGCTTTTGAAGTGCAATTATAGTGGGGAAAAAAACCTCTTGAACTTCTGAGAAAGCTTTATGGATTCATACAATAATTGCTTTTGTGAAGCTGCTAATTATGCAAGTTACTGTTATCTAAAAAGGTAAAAAGGTAGCAGAGTTTTACTGCTAAGAAGTTAATAGCCCTCAGGCAATAGCTTCGATGAGCAGTTATGTCCTTTTCACCCCCCCAAAAAATCATTACCATGTTTCAATCTTTTTTCATAAGACCAGTACCAGCCCACTCTCCTTGTTTAGCAAATATTTAGGCTGTATAAAGCCTAATTCACAAATTTGTGTGGCATCTGCATGAGATGCTACTCATCTGATGTAGTTGGGAACTGCTCTGCTTCAGTCTCTTTCTAGAAAATATCTCTGCATATTCCAGTGCATCCTTTGACTGCCCTGCAGACTCCCTTCCTGCCTGGAATTTGTGATCTCCAACGCTAGCACCTTACTCTTTTTGTTAATAATATTTCAAAGGAGAAGCTGCTGATGCCACTATGAGAAAAGACGAGTGGTGATAATCAGCCAGAAGCCGTTAATGGATGTTCTGCCCTTCTTTTAACCGTTAGTATTTTCAAAGCACTATCTCAAAGCACTTTACAAATGCTAGTTATTGTCATTTGATGTGGGGGAAAAAAAAAATCAGTTGTAGAAACTGCAAATTAGATTTGTATTGTTGAAGTCAATATTTGAGGGCAGAAATTCAGGTTGTTCTGGGATGTTCTTGTGGATCTCCTTTTTTAAAGGCACTCTTCAAGTGAATCCAAAATTAAGTGTCTGTATCTTTTTTTCCCACCCATGTATTTCCAATGAGCTTTCTCTGATCAGCTTAAAATCGTTTTTATACTGATTTGCACAATACTGTCTAGATGAACAGTTTAAAAATGTAGTTTTTAACATGACCTCCTGATACCTAGTGAAATCACTAAACAAAATCACTGCTGTTTTTCTCAGCACTAATAGCTTTGTCCAGTAGCAGATGAATCACATCAGATGAAGATCAATTTTGAGTTTAAATTAGTAAAGAGCTTCGACATAAGCCGAAATCCTTCAGCTATGAGACAACGTACAAGAAGCTTTTTCTCTGACAGCTTTGGTATCTGTTATGTCTCTTAACTTCGGATCATGTTTTCATAGCAGAATTTTCTAGGACTAACAATCTTCTAAACAGAATGTTCGGCTCCATGCGTGGTAGCTGAACAGAAATGCTTAATTTTAATTAAAAGTAAATAAATAAAAATCAAATTTGCCTTTTGGCTGCTGAGTTTTCCAGGTTGAAGGGCAACGCTGCTCTGCAGGATACCAAGGAGGTAAATGGCTCTGCCTTCCACTTGCCTGGTAGAGCAGACTGCTCACCTGCGGAGGGCCTATGGAGAATGAGCAGGAAAAGGTTAAAGTATGTTAATGAAAACAGTACTAGCAAAATGTATGTACAGATTTAATAAACTACAATAATGTGTTTTCAGATGAAATGTCCTTTTTCTTCCTTTTTTAACTGCTGCTCTCAACCCAGTGTGTAAGGAAATGGAAGGTTTTATTTTTCCTGCCAGGCTTTGTGAAAATCCTTGAAGGAATTCCCCATTGAATGAGTTGGGTTCTCTTTGGTTTATTGCTAGTGTGACCTTTCTGGCTTGGCTTTGCACGGGGCTCTAGGGCAGTTAGAAGTTATTCTTGCCTTCAGTGCTTCTCACAGCCCCAAAAAATAAAACTGATAGAGCAAAGCTCCCAGAGACACACTTAGGCTGTACTATTGTTTACAAGCCAGCGAAAGCTAATCACTGCTGATAGCAAAGAGTTAATGACACTGCTTTTGGCACTAAAAGCCATTTCTTAAATTTGTTTCTCTCCTCTTGTTATTTTTTCCAAAGTTCTGCAAATTCTCTACTTCATTGTTATATGGGCATTTAGGCAATAGTACTTTTTTTCCCCTCAGCGGGCTGCTAATGAGCCATGTTCCCAAAAAAGCACAACGTGGTCCAACACGGTGTTTGGACTGGCTTCTGCATGGCCTGAACATGAGTTGCAGCAGGGAATTGCTCCTTTATTTTCACTCAAGGGAGGAGCTGCTGCTGGAGTGACTGAAGCTGCAGCCATGAGCAGTAGTTGGGGGCCACCCACCATTTTCTGACCCCATGGGGTGGCACTTTGCTTCCCGGCTGCTTCTCACAGTTGCTGCCTCCCTCCCTTCCTCCTTTCCTTCCTCCCCTCACTCCTTCCTTCCCAGCCTCCGGAAGCTCCCAGTTCAGCAGAATCCGGTGGCAGGAGCAGCAGCGGCCCCCAGTCCCCGCTGGGAGCGGTAGTTTCCCCTCCTTTCCTTGGGGCCACCTGTGTGTCCCAGGGCTGCGAGCAGGGACAGGCCCATCCTCTGGCAGCAGGGAGAGCCACAGCCTCCATCTCCCTGCGCCCACACAGCTGGTGTGTCCGGGGTTGGGGCTGCCCCGGTCTGGCTCCGGGCTGTGGTGGACGTGGCGCTCAGGGCTTGCAGCTGCCGCAGGCCGCGCTGGCGCCACGGCAACGCGCTGCGGAGCACTGAAGTGGGGACAGGCAGCCGAGTTGGGGGGGACTGGGATCCCCAGGGGCGGCGGGGCCCCCCCCCTTTTTTTTGCCCCCAGCTCTGGGGGCAGCCTCTGTCCACAGGTTTGGGGTCCTCCCCGCGCTCTGGCTCCAAGACGGGAAGTTTCCTTCTCTCTCCCTGTGGCTCCAGCCTGGAGGTTGGTGCACGGGGCAGGGCTGGGGGTACCAGCCCCGCTTGGATCCTCTGGCTCCCAGTGTGAGTTGCTGCCAGTGCTCCGGGCCCTTGGAGGGCCGGGAGGAGGTTTTCAGGGCTCATCCAGAGCTTCGTCTGGGCGCGAGGCGGCGCGGGCGGCTGCACAGGAAAGGGAAATCTCTTCCACAGCGGCGCTGGCGGCAGCAGCGAATCGGAAACACGGCGAGTAGGAGGTTCCCGTTAACCCCCTGCGCGCAGCAGAGCCCGGAGCAGCTCCCGGCCGGAACGCAGGGAGGCCTGGAGGCCTCCGATGGTGAGTGCAGCCTGTGCGGGTGCTCCAGGGCCGTGCGGCTCCGGCAGCGCGGACGAGTCGTTGCCTGTCCCCCCGGCAAGGGGCCTTCCCTTTGTAACAAGGCACGTTATCTTCCTCCACAGGCTGCAAAATCCAGGCGAAGTTTAAGAGGTGGGTGCCCTCGCGCGCTGGGATCCGCTGCGGGGACAGAGCGGAGAGGGACATGGGGGTCGCTGCGGTCCTGGCTCCCGAATCGCATCGGGACCCTTGGTTCGGTGCTGCCATTGAGCTCATTGTGTCACTCCTGATCCAGCACCGCTTACCTGCACCCCAGACCCTGCGGGTTTGCTTATCGGGGTCTGGTTTTAGGGGCTTTCCTGAATCCGGTTTTGGTTTCCCCCCACCCTAGTGCATTGCGTAGAGGCCGTCAGCCTCTTGCAGCCCCTCATACTGCAGCAGAGCCCTTGGGGTACCCACGGCGCCGCAGACCAAACCCGGCGCGTGGCAGATCTCAGAAGAGCAAGTCGTGGCTGACGCAGGGGCTTCCTGGCCAGCAGCCCCAGCTCCTTTGCTCTATCTCATTGCAGGCTCCGTCGATGACGTGCTGGGCGACCTCCTTGGCTATGATGGTAAAAGGCACCTTCCATGCAGCGTCCCTGCATGCACAATGCCCTGCCCAGCGGCTCTGCAGTGCCAGCCTGCGGGTCCTTCCTTCTGAACAAGTTCCTCCTGACACAGGGCTTCCATGGTCATATCCCCCTGGGATGGATGGGACAAGCAGCCCCTTCCCTTTTGGCCCATTCAAAGTGAAACAGGCTCCCGTAGTGAGGGGGGATGAAGCAGGGAGCAGAGCGCGCTCCCCAGCATCCAAAAGGTTGTTGAGCAGGTTGGGCATCAGGTTGGGGTGGTCAACACAAGGTTCATCCAACAGTTAAAGGCTGCTCAGGTTCGTAAGGAGATGGCAAATCCCACTTTGGAGCGCTTAGGTCAGGAATATGTTTGTGGCCAGTGTCTTAACCGCTCCCTGCTTTGTTTCCAGATGAAACCCCAGCTAAAGCTGCCAGAGCTTCCCAGGCGGCCGGGGGCAGCACCAGCAGAGCCAGCAAGAAGTGAGTAGCTCCCAAACACGTCCTCCTTCCTTGGGGAGCTGCCTGGGCTCCCCAAGTCCTTCTGCCCTCTGCCATCCTTGGCAAGTCCTCTATAAATATTCTTTTTCATGGTTTTTCACTTAAGTATAACAGTCCCAGCCTGAGTGTCATTTCCCTGACGCTGTTCTCAGCCTGCCACGTGGGTGCGTGTCCCCGTGCTGTGCTCATGGGTGCCCTGGGGTGGCTGTGTGGTCCCCACCATGCCCCCAGCCCGGCCTGGCCCATCGGCCCTGGGTGACTGCTGCTCCCAGGATGGCACACAGCCGAGTTCTGGCCAGGGCTGGCATCTCCCTGCAGTTCATAATGCGTCAGTGCGGCGTTCCCAACCCCGGCCCATGTCACAGGTCCTTCCTGGAGGAGGATTTCTTCAGCAAACTCCCTGCTGAGGACATCGAAACTGCAGAGGTGAGCCCAAATTTTGGGAGGGAGTCTGGGGGTTCCAACCACCCCAGCGGGCTCAGGAGATGGGACAGGGAAACAGGGGGAAGATGGCAGAAGAACTTCCAGGTGCCCGGGGTGGGTTGGGGCGAAGGCAGGGAAGGTGCTATCAAACACGTCCAAAGCCTCTCCATCCATCTGCATGACCTCTGCCCGTGCTGCCACACAGGGGTCCGATGTCTCAGATGCCGACCCACAGGCTGTGCTGCAGACCCTGAAGGTAAGAGCATGTACCCACCACGGCAGCCCCTGCGAGCTCGGCGCACTGCGGATGTGGGTGGGTGAGGGCAGGGAAGTGGCCCTGGGATGGTGACAGTGTCCCCCTGCTCCCATCCGCGTCCTGTTGCTTTCCAGGACTTGGATGACATGGAAGCAGATCTCCTGGGAATATCAAAACCCCGTCCAGGGCTGGGAGAAATGAATGTGAAAGACCCTGAGAAGCACGACCCTGCGGGCAGAGCAGGAAAACCTGCAGGGAAGCTGCCGGCTCCCAAGAAAGGTAAGAAGGAGGTTCTGACTGCAAGCAAGCATGAAACATTTTAATCTGAGACAGGGAGCAAGGAGGGGTTTTGTTTCCTAAAATCCTTTTCCTGATCCCTTTTGGGTACTATCACAGACAGAGTTGTATTCAATTCCAAAGCATTAGGTTGTATTTAAGGGTAGCCTGTCACCTGTCCTGCTCTTCTCCTTTCCTGCTTGCCCCTCCTGGAGGGGCCCCCTGAGGCCTGAGGAAGCCCCTCCTGAGACCTGCAGCTCCCAGGGCTTCACGGGACTTTGTGTCACAGCTCGTGGGTGGCGGGAGGACGGTGCAGCGCTGTCTCTGAGCACAGTCCTCTTTCCAGGAGATTCTGCAGCTGTGATGGAGAAGAAGCCGCCCTCGTCTCCCCCCGCTCCCCGGCCCTACAAGAAATTTAACTTTGAAGGTAGGTTCCTGGGCCAGGTCCAACCCAGACATCTGTGACTCTGGCCCTGCCGTTTGCCTCTCACATGGACTGAGGGCTTGGATGGTCAACGAGATACAGAGGCTTCCACCCCGTCAACACTAGTTCAAATCCAATCCCATAGAAATGCAACTGTCGAGTCCGTGAGGTTCAGAGACTCGAGGGCATCCATGGCTCTTGGTGTTAGGGGTAACAGCCTCCAGCAAAGAGGGACTTGGGGAAGATGCTGAGGTCAAAGTTACTCTTGAGGCCCCATTGCGACACTTGCCTGGCAGTGCCCAGAGGATCCGGTCTCAACCCAGCTGCCCCACAGACCTTGGACTCAAGAACAAGCACTGGGGTTGGTCTCCCTCTCACTGCATCTCTGGGCAAGGCTGATTCAGTACCCAGTGTTTCCATGGGCACATGATGGAGTTAGTGCTTAACTAAGTGATTTTTGAGGTTTGAGCGTTTTTTGTTTGTTTGTTTTCTTAATTCTCCTTTCTTTCCCCTGTGGGGTCATTCCTAGATTTGGATGATCCTTTGGCAGGACTTTTATCTGATGAGGAACAAAATGCTCCCAAGAAGCCAATCCCATCCAGCACTGAAAACAGCTCTGTGAAAAAGCCAGATTTGAGCAAAGAGAAAGGTAAGAAGGGATGTTCTGCATCCTGCTTGGGCTAAATGAATAAGGAGCCTGGATTAGTCTGAGTGAGTCCAGCCTGTTCAGTTGAACACCATATAGTCCCATCTCTTATTAACCAGTATGAACATTTTTAGAGTCATTTTGTAACGGGGTTACTAATCCGGCAGCTCTCTGTCTGTTGGATGTTGCAAGTGTGCTGCAGGTTACAGAAGCGACCTTTCCTTCTGGGAAAGCTCCAGTCTTACCTTTGGGTCCACTCAGACTGTTCTGTGTGGGGCCAAAGGAGGACAACTTTATCGGGTTGGCGTTGGGGTGGCTGAGAATGTCACCAGTCCCCACCAAAGCGCAGCCTCTGGGTTGGATCCAGCTGCTCTGTAGCTGTTATGAGCACCAGGCCCCCTCATCGCTGCAGCTGGGACACTGACAGGAAGGGCCTGAGGGTCTCCCTGTGCCCCAGCAAGTCCAGTCTGCTGCAGAGATGGACACAAGCAGCAGCTCCTGGGTTGGGGCAGGGACTAGGATGTCTTGAGGGTGCGGGGACTTGGGGAGGGCAAGATTTGGCCGATTGGGAACTTGCAAGACTGCAAAGCTGCTGGCAGGCCCCAGAGCTGGAAATGCCGGTGCAGGTGACACCAGCAGTGTCCCAGCAGTGGGTGCAGCACCACCGCTTCCCAGCGGATCTGAGCACCAAGCAGTGCCACTTAAAAGCGCCACGTGAATGGCACGGGGGAAAGGGGCAGGCAGGGCTGCCACGGCCCCCGTGATCCCCGAGGCAGCTCGATCCCGTCCGCCCGGCAGCCCAGCCCCGGCTCGCCGCGGGCCCCGCGCGCAGGAGGGAGGAGCTCACCTTCGAGGACGACGGCGACGACCTGATGGACGCGCTGGGATTCGGGGACAGCCCGAAAGGAGACACGAGGAAGGGAGACAAGTAAGTGGTTCCCGGGCCGCAAAACGGCAGCAGGGGCAAAGCAGGGGGTGGTGTGTGCGTGCGATGGACACGGGGGCTGGAAAGAGGGTCCCAAAGGGCTTTGTAACTTCTTGAGCAGGCCTTGGTCCAAGCCAGGAGCTGCTGTGCACGGTGCCGTACGAATGCAGGGTAGAGAGAGGGGCCTTCCCTTGGGGAGCTCGGTTGTGCTGCATCCCCTCTGCAACTCATTGCCATGGGGTTGTGCTGCCTGGTTTTCTGAGCAGGGCAGGGCTTGACGCACCCAATAACCCAAGAAGTGACAAGAGCAGCCTCGTTTTGCCTGGGATAGCAGGATGGCTGCGGCAGGGCTGCGTCTTGAGAGACGCCCCCGGGCTGTGTCCCCACAGGGATGAGCTCCGTCCGGCCCGCTCCAAGCTGGATGAGTTACTGGGACGGGGCTCCACAACCAAAGCCCTGGAGCGGCCGGGCACAGCGGAGCGCAGGGAGTTCAAGCTGGATGCGAAATACCAGAAGCAGCCAGGTGAGCCTGGCTGGGGATGTGAGAGGACCCACGGAGGTGCCGGTGTGCGCATGCGACCCCAGTGGGATCGCAGGGGTGGGAGGAGGAGGGCGAGGGCTGGTGTCTTTGTAGTGTGCTGACTCGAGGCCACGTGTCTGAGCAGAGAAGGACGAGCCAGGGGATGAGGAGGATTTTGTCTTTGGCGCGTACCAGCCCTCGGTGGCCTCGGCGCCAGAGGGGCGGCCACCGCGGCGGCAGCCAGCGAGGTACCGCTCCACGCGTCTGTCTGTCCCTCCAGCCCCACGTCCCTAAGCTGGGGTGTCCCCTCTCGGGCAGGTTCATGATTCCCTCTCTCCACAGCAGGTTTTCATCTGAGGGCAGCCGTGAATCGAAGGCAGATGCTCCTGCCAACCCCGCTCCTGCAGCCGGCAGGAGCCCCGCGCGGGGCAGCAGGGCTGGCAGGGACTGGCT